AGTATTTGGCCGCGATAAATTTCCACACTTCGTTGAGCTTTGGTTTGTGATGGCCAGGTTGCTTCTGAAAAAATACGTACATGTACACATGCATACACACAACATACACGTATGTACACATGCATACACACCGTACATGCATGTACAGCATGCATCATCCTTGGTGGCGAGGTAAAAAGGGTGTAACACGTTCACTTCCTCGCCAGAGCTCACCTCCGGTGCTGCCTATCCCGCCAGGAATTGCAGGGGCTGCGCCTTTACCCGTGGAGTCAAAACCAACTTCCCCGACGCAGGGATGGACATTCCACGTTCCCATGGCGGGGTGGCGAAGTCTATAGGTAGGACAACCACCGCTATCTACAGAACCACTGTCAATCCACTGCTCGATGGAAGGCCTCGCTAATGTCGCTAAAGAGCGGGGGAGGAGGAGCGGTCGCATCGTTCGCAGTCTGCGCACGGCCTCCAAAACGTTCGGCGGCCTGCAACAATGAGCACTCACTGCGCCAAGCCGTGATCAGCGCGATAGAGGAAGACAAGACACAGTACCCGTGTCCTTCGCCTTTGCTCGCAGGCTCTCGACACGACACGCGAACACTTTCCGGCCGGCGTTAAGCGGGGATCGAGGCGGGATAAGGTGAGGGAAGGGGGAGGGATGTACGAGGGGCCAAGGGGAAGAAGGAGACCCCCCAGTGAGCAGGGGAGGCACTCAAGGGGCGGCGCGAAGGCGACACTCAGGCACGGGACGCCGTGCGTGCGGATGGACTTGGCTCTCCAGAGAAACGAGGAATGGGCGCGGCCTTGGAGCCACAGACCCCGACTAGCGGCGGTGGTGACCTCTCACCCGTCTCGCTCGCACCGCTCACTCCTTCCTACAGTGTCCCTCAAGCCATCTCCCAGCCGTCACACGCATGGACCCACCACTCACACCCCTCTCACTCTCTCTCTCTCCACCCCTCTCACCTGCGCCGTCCCCGGCTCCACCTGCTGCCGAGCCGCGTCTTCCCCGGCTCAGGGCCAGGGCCCGCCGGCTCCTCCATCGCCTCCAGCGGAGTCCCCGTGACCCCGTCCCTGTGTCTGCGTGTCTCCCCGCGTCTTCGCTCCCTCACCCGATGTGTCCTGTCTCAATGTCTCTCTCTGTCTCCGTGTTTCCTTGTCTCTCCCCCCCCCCACCGTTTCTCCCTCGCGCCTATTCCTCCTCTCTCTAGGATGTCTTGTCTGTCTCCGTGTCCCTCTCCCCGTGTCTCTCTCCCCGTCTGTCCGTGTCCCTCCGTCCCTCTATCCCCGTCTGTCCCACTCCCCGTCTCTGTGTCCCCGTGTCTCTGTTCTCTCCCGTGTCACTCTCCCAGTGTCCCCGTGTCTCTGTCCCGTGTCCCTCTCCTAGTGTCTCTACCCCGTGTCTCTGTCCCCGTGTCCCTCTCCCCGTGTCCCTCTCCCCGTGTTTCTACCCCTGTGTCTCTGTCCCCGTGTCCCTCTCCCCGTGTCTCTGCCCCGTGTCTCTGCCCCGTGTCTCTGTCCCCGTGTCCCTCTCCCCGTGTCTCTGCCCCGTGTCCCTCTCCCCGTGTCTCTGCCCCGTGTCTCTGTCCCCGTGTCTCTCTACCCCGTCTCTCTACCTCGTGTCTCTGCCCCGTGTCCCTCTCCCCGTGTCTCTACCCCGTGTCTCTGTCCCGTGTCTCTGCCCCGTGTCCCTCTCCCCGTGTCTCTACCCCGTGTCTCTGCCCCGTGTCCCTCTCCCCGTCTGTCCCCGTCTCTCCGCCCACGCGCCCCACCCCCGTGGAGCCCCGCCCCCTCCTGCTCACCCCTCCCCCCGTCCACGCTCCGACCTCGCGAAAAAACTTTAAGCCAATCGTAAGAGCCCTCTGGCGGCCCACGTGACCGCGCTGACCCAATGCGGCCTCGCCCCTAAACTCCGCGCGCGCACGGATTTCTCGGGTTGGGGGGCGGTGAAAGCCAATCAGGAGCGGCGCTGTGCGGCCACGTGGAGTGACGTCACCGTCCTGGGGATGGGTGGGGAGGGCGAGCCACCCCCCTCCCGCCTGGGCGCGCCGACGGTCACGTGACTATCGGTGAAATGATTGCGCACATGGTGCACGCGCAGGTTGCTCACACGCGTGTCTTAGACACACACAGGTACACACGTGGGTGTTATACACACACAGGTACACACGTGTGTGTCACACACAGGTACACACGTGGGTGTTATACACACAGGTACACACGTGGATGTCACACACAGGTACACACGTGGGTGTTATACACACAGGTACACACGTGGGTGTTATACACACAGGTACACACGTGGGTGTCACACACAGGTACACACGTGTGTGTTTTACACAGGTACACACGTGCGTGTCACACACACAGGTACACACGTGGGTGTCACACACAGGTACACACGTGCGTGTCACACACAGGTACACGCGTGTCTTAGACACACACAGGTACACGCGTGTCTTAGACACACACAGGTACACACGTGTGTGTCACACACAGGTACACACGTGGGTGTTATACACACAGGTACACACGTGGATGTCACACACAGGTACACACGTGTGTGGCACATACAGGTACACACCTGTCACACAGGTACACACGTGGGTGTGTCATAGGTACAAACGTATAAAATACAGGTATGTGTGGCAGACAGGTACACGCGTGTGTGTCACACACACAGGTACACACGTGAGTGTCACACACAGATACACACGTGTGTCTTATATACACACAGGTACACACGTGGGTGTTATACACAGGTTAACACGTGTGTCTTATACACACACAGGTACACACGTGGGTGTTATACACACAGGTACACACGTGGGTGTTATACACACAGGTACACACGTGGGTGTCACACACAGGTACACACGTGTGTGTTTTACACAGGTACACACGTGCGTGTCACACACACAGGTACACACGTGGGTGTCACACACAGGTACACACGTGCGTGTCACACACAGGTACACGCGTGTCTTAGACACACACAGGTACACGCGTGTCTTAGACACACACAGGTACACACGTGTGTGTCACACACAGGTACACACGTGGGTGTTATACACACAGGTACACACGTGGATGTCACACACAGGTACACACGTGTGTGGCACATACAGGTACACACCTGTCACACAGGTACACACGTGGGTGTGTCATAGGTACAAACGTATAAAATACAGGTATGTGTGGCAGACAGGTACACGCGTGTGTGTCACACACACAGGTACACACGTGAGTGTCACACACAGATACACACGTGTGTCTTATATACACACAGGTACACACGTGGGTGTTATACACAGGTTAACACGTGTGTCTTATACACACACAGGTACACACGTGGGTGTCACACACAGGTACACACGTGCGTGTCACACAGGTACACACGTGTGTGTTATACACACACAGGTACACACGTGGGTGTCACACACAGGTACACACGTGCGTGTCACACACAGGTACACACGTGGGTGTTATACACACAGGTACACACGTGGGTGTCACACACAGGTACACACGTGCGTGTCACACACAGGTACACACGTGGGTGTCACATACAGGTACACACGTGTCACACACAGGTACACACGTGGGTGTCACATACAGGTACACACGTGTCACACACAGGTACACACGTTGGTGTCACATACAGGTACACACGTGTCACACACAGGTACACACGCGTGTGTGTCATAGGTACAAACGTGTAAAATACAGGTATGTGTGTCAGACAGGTACACGCGTGTGTGTCACACAGGTACACATGTGTGTCAGACACAGATACACACGTGTGTTATGCGCAGATAGACAGACATTAATACACTTACAAAAAGACAAAGATGCCCCGTTTAGCCTTAGACTGTTGTGGGAAGTGCAGTTAGTAAGCAACTATGAAGGCCGGCGTGGGTGCCTATGACAACGCCCGCCCGCATTTGTCTCACGAGTGGCGATGTTTACAAATCGCAACAGGTACTCATTTGAGGCTGGGTCGACCTAGGGGAGGCCCAGGACCAGTTCAAATACTCGCCACTGTTATTGGCCGTGAGCGGACATCGAGCAGAGCCGGGTTCGTAGCGCAGTGCGCTAAACTCTGCATCACCGCTACCCACGCGGAAGACAAAGATGCACACTAGCACGTATACAAAACCCCAACACCATCGTGGGTTAGAGGCTAGGGTTTAGACACTGGGATAGGGACGTGATGGTTAAACTGCTATTTTTTATTTAAACAATTTTTTGCATTTCACCAGGGAAGGCCCACTGAGCTACGTAGCTCTTTTTCAGAAGCGACCTGGCCACACATGATAGCTCAACGAAGTGGCTTGTCACGTGGACATTTAAAGCAGCCAAATACTCTAAAACGCACGTCTATAAATATGGCGGGAAAACCCGGAGGACCCGGAAAAAAATCTATGCGGCCACGGGGAGAGAGAAACACGCAAACTCCAAATATACAGCAGCAGACGTCAGGGTCGGGATCGAACCCACGACCTCCTGCATACCGGGCGAGGTAGTTAACATCTCCTAGCCACCGTGATGATGATGAGAGAGAGAGACACGCAAACTCCAAATATACAGCAGGTGTCAGGGTCGGGATCGAACCCACGAGCTCCTGTACACCAGGCGAGGTAGTTAACATCTCCTAGCCACCGTGGTTAGATTTCCGAGGCAATGTCTGAGGGCAAAAGGCTGCAGAGAAGGCGGGGGAAGTTCAGGGATGGAGGTTACAGGGTCGAGGTCACAGTCCTGGGCCGCAAGACTCGAGGTCTGGACGAGACATGGGGGTTTGGTTTAAATCGAGAGGATAGGATATGTTTGAGATACAGGTGAGGGTTAGGAATAGGGGTGAGAGTTAGGGGTGGGGGTCAGGGTTATGGGTGAGTGCCACAGGGGTAAAGACCAGGAATAGGGGTTAGGGTCAAGAATAGTGGTGAGTGTCAGGGTTAGGGGTGAGGCGTTAGGGGTTGACGGCTGTGGCTGGCTTCAATGCTCACCTGGCGAGCGATCGGCTCCGCCGTGGCTCTTCTTCATCCTTGACCTCGCGACCTCGGTGCCTCCGGATGAGGCGACGGAGCAGGTGGCTCCCGGCGATCATCCCCCGGGGTTGGTGGTGGTGGGGGGTGAGGGGCGCCTCTCAATGAAGCAATCAATTATCGCGAATTAACGGCTCTGTCTGCGAGCCCATGGGGGTCTTGATGAGGTCTACTAGGGGGTTGTTTGCCGGGGCCGGGGTCCTTGAAGGATCACCTGGGAGAGGGGAGCGTGCGCGTGCCCCGTGTGAGGTGTGAACTGGGCTCGTGAGCGTTGCGCAGTGAAGGCCTCGGGGAAGGGGGTAGGGGGGGGTGGGGTGCCGCTTTGCATCCGCAGATTTCACAACTCGCGTGGATACGAGCGCTTCCCTCCCCCCCCCCCCCCCCAATTGCTGGGTCCTCCACGTGCTCATGACTCTCGCTTCCCCGTTGCTCGCACTGGCCCAGCGAGGAGGAATGTGATGCGACTTTAATGGAGCCGTGCCGTTGGCTGTGATGGGGGTGATGTTGCGCGTCACTTTTAGGAAATGCAGTTTCCTCTTTGGCAAGCCACGTGTGTGAAAAGCACGGTGGCTCGGAGATGTTAACTTTAGCCCCTTAGTGTTAGTTAGACTTTGTACCTTTAGTATAGTTTAGACTTGTATACCACTTATTTTATAATTAAGTTTACTATATGTTGAATGTATGCATCTTCCTGCCAAAGTGAATTCCTTGTCTGTGCGAACTTTAATGGCGAATAAAACCCCTTTCTGATTCTTAACTTCCACGCCTGGTATACAGGGGGTCGTGGGTTTGATCCCGACCCTGACGCCTGCTGCTGTATATTTGGAGTTTTCGTGTCTCTCTCTGTGCTCGTGTGGATTTTTCTCCAGGTCTTCCAGTTCCACCCCCCCCCCCCCCCCCCACACACACACACACTTAGGAACGAGCGTTTAGAGGATTTGACTGCTCTACATTTCCACGTGATTAAGCCACTTAGTTGAGATTTAATTTGTGGCCACGTCGCTTCTGAGAAAGAGCTACAGAGCTCAGTAGGCCTCCCTGGTGAAATAAAATAAATTGTTTCGTTTTAAAATTTGATTTAAAGCTTTCGTGACTGCAGGGATTCATATTCTTGGTTCTTTCGGTAAAGTCACGTAGAAGGGAAACAATAAAATAATAAAAATAATAAATATTGTTTCCCTTCTACGTGACTTTACCGAAAGAACCAAGAATATGTTTCGTTTTAGTTCAGTTCGTATTCCAGTCCGAGGCATCGGGGCCTTCACTGACCTAACCGTGTCCCCAATGCTGACCTTGACTTTAACCCTCATCCTGCCTCTAATCCTAACACGAATATCGAGAAGTCATCTTGGCCACAGTCGTCAATGCCACCACCACGAACCACACCTCGCCAAACTCCACCAGATCCCACAGCTGCTGCTGCTGCTGCACAGGAGATATCGCGACCTCTGAGATCTGCCCTGACGGTCTAATTCAATTATCTGGCCTCAGACCTTCTCTTCCCCTTGTTTACCGAACTCACTGGAGTCCACTCCAATGTCCGTCTCGGTAACCGGCCCTCTCCCCATGCTACACAAGTGTCCCAACCCAGCGCAACTGTTCTTGCCCTGATTCTAACCCTGACTATAACCCCAGGACCAGATTGAGGCTTTGAGGGAGGGAAGGGCCAAACGATGTATTACATGTTGCAATATATATTTTTGAAATGATCAAACATGTATTTATTTACCTATGTAAAATGTAATGAATTTATTCGACTCAAGGTAAATCCATCAAACATAAATCACTCCCTTTAATAAATTATTCAAACAAAATATTGCTTTCCTAACTTTAGCTGCTGTGGAAAAGTCATTAATAATGAAATAGTAATTCAAAGACAATGTTCGGAGGGCCTAACGTAGGGCCTACAGAATGAGGGCCGAAGGCCTGATTAGCCTAACGGTTTATATGGCCCTGCCTAACCCTAACCGTGACTCTAACCGTGACTGTGCATCTCTAAGCCACGTACAGGAAACGATAGAGAAAAAGCGAGAACAATCTCACACACCCTCTTAAACTTCTGCTTCATACACGCACTCACAAAGGCAAACATCCCCCGTATAGCCTTAACATACTGTTGGGGCAAGTGCTGTTAGCGAGTAGCACATGTGAAGGCCGGCACGGCACACGAGGGAGTGGGTGGCCAACACCACGCCCGGCCGCCTTTGTCTCCCCGGTGCTGATGTTTACACACCGCACCGGGTACTGAACTCGTTGTTGCTGGTCATAAGCGGGGATTGTGCTCGGGTCGCCGGGTTCGTAGTGGAGTGCCTCCAACAGCTTTTAGTGTTTAGTTTGTTGTCCTTACCCCGTTCCTCCGAATAGCACGGTTGTCTACATATGGCGCGAAAGAAGTTCAACATAGTGCATACAATTAGGCTTCCTCCTGAAGTAAAACAAAGATTACTTACATGCAGATGTAGTGTAATAGCGCCGGCTGGTGGACAGCAATGCCAACTGTGGTGGACAGACAGTCCAGTCGCCGGTGAGGGCGAGCACGGTGTGTGGGCAGAGCGGAGGAACTGGGGCAAGGGTCACGGCGGACCCCATCTGGAGGCCCCTGGAACCTGCTGCTGGAGGGTTCGAGAAGGGAGGCGCGGTCAGGGCGGAGCCAGGGCCGCGCCGGGAGCATAAAAGGAGCCGAGAGCGGGAGGCTCGGGGCTGCCGGTGCTGGGAGTGGACTCGTCTCGTCGTCGCTGTCGTCTCGTCGCCGTCGTCGCTAAACGTCTCCACTGGACGTTGCGCTACGAAGGAGAGGAGTTGGCTATCTCAGTCAGCGCCGTCAGTGCTAGACGGCCGGTGTTGTGTACAGGCTGGGCTCAGCTACTGTGGAGAGTGTGCGGACGAGACCGTGGAAGTTGTTAATAAAGAAAGTGCCTCCGAGAATCGTTGACATTACACATACTGTACACGCTGACACAGTGACATACACGCTGACACAGTGACATACACGCTGTCACGATGACTCATACATAATTGCATGCACTGACATACCTACCCTGACCTACGCACACTCTGACAGAGTGACACCTACATTGACACGGTGACATACACACACAAAAAAACACAAAGATTCCCCGTATCGCATGAACAGACTGTTGGGGCAAGTGCTGTTAGCGAGCACCTATGCAGGCTGGTACGGCACACGACGGGATGGGTGGCCAGCACCACGACCGGCCGCCTTTGTCTCCCCAGTGCACCAGGTACCGTACTCAATTAAAGTCCGAGTCCACCAAATAAAAACAAATATTTTCTGATGAAGTTTTTTTTTTTAATAGGGGTATTAATGATTACACAATTGGTAGCTATTGAGTAACAGACAAACACTCCAATAAACGCAAATATGCATGAGAAAATTAACTCATTTGTATTTAATGTAAAAGTATAAAATGTTGTCGGCACAGGTCAACTGGACGTCGTGGTTTTTGTTTTATTTTTATTATTTTTTTATTCATTTTATTTTTATTATTTTTCTATCTACGTGACTACCGAAAGAACCAAAGAACATGCATTCCTGCAGTCACGAAAGTTTGAAGTCAAAATTTGGACCTTGATCAGCATAATCTACCCAGTGGGCCCAGGGACACGTGATTAATTCATGAACATTTCCCGGAATTATCATCATGCCCAATGGTGTAAACAAGAGCAGTCTCCATCTCTCTGCCCTTTCTCTCTGTGTGCTATAAAGAAGGGCCATTGTCTGAAACGTCGCCTACCACTCTATGTATATGTTTCCCATTTGAAGGCCACAGAGAGCGATATCGACGGCCTTGTTGAGTGTTTGTCGTTTGCTCGGTGCTTCCAGCGTCACCTCATCAGTCGCACGGTGTACAACAACACCACGCACGACCGCCTTTGGGGCCGTCCATAAATGACGTCACGCACCTAGGGGCGGGGGGGGTGAGACATTTGTGACTATGTGTGACAAGGGGGGGGGGGGGTTTGAGAAATATGACGTCACATCAAAATGCGCAACTTTAAACAAATATAGATAACACGTTCTACTTAATTAAATAGACTTTTTAATGAATGTTTTCTCCTACAACATCAGAGTGCAGCGCCACATTAAATACGCACTACAATGACAATAGTTGTAAGCTATTTGAAGCATGTTTTTTTGGGGGGGGGGGCAGAGCTTTGTGACGTCATATTTGAGGGGGGGTCTGACTTTTTGTGACGCCGTGTGACGAGGGGGGGGCTGGTCAAAAATCGTCAAAAATCGCGTGATGTCATTTATGGACGGCCCCTTTGTGCTCCCAAACAAACACACGCGCACACGTCCAGCCCCTCCCCCCTTCTCCTCCCTGCGATTCCCAGGAGACGCCGCAAAAGACATCTTACGCCCCCCCCAGCCCCCGGGCCCTCACCCCTCCCGACCCCTACCCGTGATGTTGCGTGGCGCCTGTTGTGGTGCTAGGCGAGGTCCACGTGGAGAGCACGTGGCGTCTGTGTAAAGCTGCTGTCACGGGACAGACCCAGATGCTATGGCTGGGAAGATGCGCCGCCCGTTCCTCCCGCTGTGCCAACACTCGCTGCGTTTTAGCCGCCCGGCGCTCAGCTCATTGTTGTGAGCGCCGCCGTTGTTGTTCAAGGGCGACTGCCTCCTACTGCCCGCAGAGGCCGATCTTGACACCGCTGGTACCCGGTCAGTGGCAAGACCACTCAGCTCCACGTTCTCTCCAGCACGTGCCGCTCCATGGGGCACGGGGGGCTCCATGGGGCACGGGGGGCTCCATGGGGCACGGGAGGCTCCATGGGGCACGGGGGCTCCATGGGACACGGGGGGCTCCATGGAGCATGCGGGGCTCCATGGGGCACGGGGGCTCCATGGGGCACGGGGGGCTCCATGGGGCATGGGGGCTCTATGGGGCACGGGGGGCTCCATGGGGCACGGGGGGCTCCATGGAGCATGCGGGGCTCCATGGGGCACGGGGGCTCCATGGGGCACGGGGGGCTCCATGGGGCACGGGGGGCTCCATGGGGCATGGGGGCTCTATGGGGCACGGGGGGCTCCATGGGGCACGGGGGGCTCCATGGAGCATGCGGGGCTCCATGGGACACGGGGGCTCCATGGGGCACGGGGGGCTCCATGGAGCATGGGGGGCTCCATGGGGCACGGGGGCTCCATGGGGCATGGGGGCTCTATGGGGCACGGGGGGCTCCATGGGGCATCGGGACTCCATGGGGCATGGGGGCACCATGGAGCACGGGAGGATACATGGGGCATGGG